GCCAGTTTGGGTCAGGTGTCCTGTCTCTGCTTCCTCCCAGCTTCTTGTGCCCCTCGTCACTGGCAGACCATGAGACTGAGAAGTCCTTGATAAAAGTTAAGTGCTACTGAGCAACAACTAAAACACTGGTGTGTTATCAGCATTGTTCTCAGACTAAAGCCTGAACACATCACTGCACCAGCTACTAGGAAGGAGAAAAATAACTGCTACAACTGAACCCGGGACAGTAATATAAATAAAAATAAATTCAGTGTTAGACTTGGTGAAGCCTTTTTGTTCTGGACCAACCTGTTCTTTTAAAGCTACAGTGGAGAATAGAAGACAACTTCTTGCAGATGCTAGTTTTTGCTTAATGTAGTTGTACTCTTAAAAAGTACTGTGTGTTATGCTCCTTTTTTAAATCAATAGAATATATAACTAATTACTTCTAAGAAAATCCTGAAGCTGTGTAGGGTGGCTTCCTCTTTAGGCCTGAGTTCAGTAGATCCAGTTGAAAAGAAAGCTGGACTTGGTGTTCCTTTCTTCAAAGGCAGTCTTAGACTGAATTTTTCTAGTAGTTTAACTTGGGCAAGGAACTTTATTTATTTAATTTATATGAAACCCACCAGTGCATAAATCAAAAAAGAAATGCAAATGCCTTAGATGAGTTTGGGAATTAAGATGTTAATGCTAAACCACTCATTCAATTTGTGTTGATTTTTTTTTTTCTTTACTGTATAAGGTAGAGTTAAATTTTTCTCTGAGACCAAAAATCCATATCCAGTTGCTGAAAGGGGAAGTTGAAACAGTGCTGCTAAAACATAAGGAAAAGGCATCTTTCTACAAGCTCTGGCTTTGGGTTTGTGTCTGTCTGCTTTCTTTTCTGCAGCAAAGCTTTCTGCAAGCCAGATTGTCCTTTTTGACTTTACCAGCTGAGAGTGAGTTCGTGGTCTCTGGGGTTCTCCTGCATGAGACCTATTACAATGCTTTGGTGATGGGAGTGTTCAGTGCCTGAAAGGAGAACTAAACCCAGCCATTTTTCAAAAGAAGTTAGGCCGATCCATCTGGCACAATTAGGTCTCCCTTGTCCCAAAATAAACTATGCTGCTATAATCAACTGCTTTCCTGGTCAAATGTTCTGGCAAAACCTTACTTGGAAAAAAGCTGGCATACAACTGTGAGGAAGATGGGAAAACTTGGGATGATTAGTACAAACCCCCGTTATTAATGCCTAATTTTTTTGTATCACTTGAAGTTTGTTGACATTGGTTTGTGATGATTAGTGAGAAGTTTCACCAGAGTATTTGTCTCTTCCTCTCCAGTAAATAAATCTCTTGTTAATACTTTATAAGTGTCTTGGATTATTCAAACTTCTTATATCTGTTCTTTGATTTCTGATTACCAGTTTCTGTGCATCTTTGCTAATATGAGATAGATATCTATCTTATGGACTCCAGCTTGCCAAGCCTGAGGTGTCTGGAGGCTGCACCATCATCTTTTTGTCTTGGGAGCTGCGTTATCCACACTTGTCTGTCTCTTTGGGCGTCATAGTTGCTAGATTTCTGCAGAAGTAAATGGTTGTGTGAAGGAATTAAGTACTGTTTCCATTTCCCCTTTGGAATTAGAGGGGAGAGCAGCTGGGGTAGTTATTGCTGTGGGCATCTTCCTCTGTATGGTTATCTTCTTTCATTCATTTTTCTGATCACTGTTATTTTATGGTCTCTCCTTGTTCCTGGAGTTACTGGTGGTTCGTCAGTGATTCTGGCTTCTTTTCTGTTTTTGGGTGCACTCATAATCAATTTCAGTCAGGTTAAGATGTGGCTGCTGCCAGAAAGCAAAGCTCTGTCTGTTCCTCGTGTCAGCGTTAGTTCCCTGGCATCCACAGAGTGATAAAACTCGTGCATGGATCAGAGAGGTGATCTGGCCAACCACAGAGCTTCATGTGGGGTGCCATGAAGTAGGACGTGTGGCTCAGTGCAGAGGTGAGAAGAGGGACTGCCCCTTCTTGCAGTAACATGGATTTAAGCTGGGTTTTTCCTGATGAGAAATTGCACTCATGTAGCTGCTAGCTTTTTCTGAAGCGCTCTGAGGCAATGCAGTGTGACTTGGCTGTGTTACAGGGGTTTTCTGCACATCCTCAGATAGTTTTCAGCAGATCAACTTGGGAGCTACAGCTGTGAAATCTTTTTAAGGTTTAAAAAATAAAATTAAAAAAAAAATCAAAATATTTTAAAAGTTGAACAGCTTCTGCTTTAAGTCAGACTTAAGGCTTAGCCAGCAACAGAATTTACTTCAGGTTTCCTAAGAAAAGTACATGCTAAAACTCTCACATACTTGGAGGAGTTGTGTTGCAAAGGATCTTGGATTTTGTATCCATGGGAGCTTCAACAAGCTGTCTGCCAACAGCCAGGGCCTTGGCCTGTCTCTGCTCCAGCTGCGTCTTCCTGGTTTTCCTTTCTGCTGGCTGGAGAGCTCATTAGACCATTGAGCTGCTTCAGCATGTGAGCTGGTGGGAAAGCTGAGCCAATGACCAAAGTGGGGAGTGCTCAGGAAGGGCCAGAACACACAGCTGGAGGCAGGTGAGTGAAGGGGACTGTGGCAATCAGTGCTCAAAGTGGCTTAGGCCACTTTGGGTTTGCAGCTTTAGATTCTTCGTAAAGTGTTTAGACAGAACTAGGTTCTTCCTTCCTTCCTTTCATTCTTCCTTCTTATGGAGGAAGGCTGGAAACCCCTGCCTTAATTGTCATACACTACTTCAAAAAATGGTGAAGGGGGAGACTGCATTTTTAGTGTGCTGTCTTTTTTCTGTATGCATTAGAAACATTTAAGTGTATATGTAAGGTCTCTAGATAATGACGAAATAACTGGCTCATTTTTAGGCTCTTTGAACTTCGCTGTTTGCATTTCAGAAAGGGAAATTTTACATATTGCATGCTTGGTAATACCAATATTTTCATGCTGCAGGAGGGTTGATCTCTTGGTAGATTTGTTTATCTGGAGCCATGTTATGCATAGGACAAATAAAAATATGTAGATACATTGTTAGGTTTTAATTGTGGCTTCATAATTAAACTCTTAAAATGAATTTCCCAATCTTGTCTATTTGATTTTTGTAATGCTACAATATTCTGACCTAGAAAATGGTTGGTTTGTTGGTTTTTTTTGGTGTTTTGTTTGGTTTTGTTTTTTTTTTTTTTGTAACCAACATTTCTTAACCAAGCATAAAATAAGACAGTGAACATAGCTAAAATTCTCTCTTCCCTTTTAGGCTGCCATCATGACGGCTGAAGAAACAGTGAATGTTAAAGAAGCTGAAATAATTAAACTAATACTAGATTTTCTGAACTCAAGGAAACTTCATATCAGTATGCTGGCACTTGAGAAAGAAAGTGGGGTCATTAATGGCTTGTTTTCAGATGACATGCTTTTTCTAAGGTAGGACTTCTTTCTCTGGTGCTTAAATACCACATATGTGAAAGCATAGAGAGGGACTGTGATTCAGTGGCAGCGCCATGCTACTAAACAGGAGGTGTTATTCCCTCATCTTACTCTGCTTCTTCCTGTTCCAAATTATTTGGCCCAGCCCTGCATCATATTTCAGCTTTGAAGTTAATGACATGCTGCTTAGAGCCACACAAAGTAATTGACTAGGTGTCATCAACATGAGGTTGACTTAGATTTGTTTGTTTGTTTACTTGTTCAATCATTGTAACTTGATTATTTTCTGGCACAGTAGTGAATTAAAGTGGGAAGGGGTCCGAACAAGTGTCAGTGCAGAGTAAGAGAAAGCACATGAGCAGGAATAGGATGGGAGAGCGAGATCTTTTGGCATCGGTGATCTGTTATTATCTGCTTACCATGTCACATGGAACTGAATGTGTTGTTTATTGACTGCTAAAATAAAATATTTTTACAATACTCTAGTGCTAAGATGTAGAATGAGTGGAGTGGCTTCCAAAGATTTTTCCCCCAAAATATTATCTGCATTTCAAAATAATACCTAGATTTCTCTTAAATATAACAATATGAAGGGGGTCTCTGCTATCGGCAAGGCGTGAGAGTTGGTGCTATTTACCATTTAGGATATTGCCCTTAAAATTATTAAGAGTCACTGTAGATGCATACTAGGGTTTTTTTAGCATAGCTGTTTTCTATTTCATGCCAAAGTACTTAACTTTGTAGAAGCATGAGAAAATAATTTATTCAGCTGTTCTCAAAACACTAAAAAATAAATAATTTTATCATCAAACAAGGTTTTTCATGTAGCTTTTCTTTTGATTAAAATTAGGGATATTGGAATGAAATTAAATAAGAAATCGATTATTAATCCTTTTTGTTTCATTCTGGCTTGGTTGGAGTATACATTTAATGACAAACTCACCCTTTCCTTGTAGATCTGGCCTTTTACAGAGAGCTCTGTGTGCGATACGAGGGTATGAAGAAATTGAACTAATCCGCCTGTACAGTCTAGCCCTGATGGTCTTGGAGTTGGAGCTTTTGCACTGGCATAGTTCCTACCAAGCTGTTACTCTTATGTTATTAGTATGAGAGCTGTGTGTGCCTCACCCCATCCCCTTATAAAATAGGCCCAACAGTATTTATACAATTAAAACTCACTCATTTTCAAGTCTGCTTTCATTCTTCAGGATGTATTCATTGAAGCAATATATTTATTCATACTCTTCTTGTAAGAATGATTTTTTTTTTAATTTTTTTTTTAAGTAAGAATTACAGGTGAAGCAGAACACACAGGATCATTTTGTCATTTCTGATGTGCCTTTAAAAGTAACTAATATTTGTTCTTCCAATATGCAGTTGTTATTACAAAATACTGAGAAAGGATATAGATTTTGCTCTTCTTGTAGTCACATCAGACAGTCATCTTGGCATCTGTGCAAAGCATTAACTTTTCAAAGCTGATTGATCACTTGTGTATTTAAATGAGCTGCTTATTTAGAAAGAAGGGTGTCCTTGTCCAGTAAAATTTATGGAGCAACTTTTTCTTTTAATAGGCAATTGATTCTTGATGGTCAGTGGGATGAGGTTCTTCAATTTATTCAGCCTCTGGAATGTATGGAAAAATTCGACAAGAAAAGGTAAAATAGAATGTATGTCAGAGTTCAATTTTTTTGAGCTGTGGAAAATACATCAATTTTTAAGTGCTGTCTTTGAAAGCAGTAGCTCTAAGATTTTCACCTTAGGTTTGGGTTTTTTTTCTAACCTCTATACAGTTCCTACAGCGTGTGCATGTGTGTGTTAACTGAAACTAGGGAAAGTATGTGCGTAGAATCTGTAACAAGTTTTCATTTGCTGTATACTTTAGGAATATGGTGCATGTTGTACTGGCTTCTTATAGTTGACTGCTCTGTCATTTCTATTGAAAAAATGAGTATGATTGCTATACTTTTTTTCTTATTAGCTTTCTAATATTTTAATATTTCTGAAAGCAATAATTGAAAAAGGCATTTTATATTAATACATAATTTTAGTGATTATGAGTTTGTTAAAATTAGAGATCAGAATTCCTTGTCACTGTAATTTCTGTGCCTAACTCAAAAATTTGCTGTAAAATACCCTGCTTGTCTCTAAAAGAATGTTTAGCTACTGGATCAAGATGTATATATCTTAATTCTGACCTGCAGATTTCGTTACATTATAATGAAGCAGAAGTTTTTGGAAGCCTTATGTGTAAACAATGCGATGTCAGCGGAAGATGAGCCTCAGCATGTAAGAATTATCTCTTGTTTGGAATTTTTATTGTAAGGAAACCTCTTGAGATATTCTGATTAAAGACACGGCGGAAGCTCCCAGACCTGAATACATAAATTTTAGCTGTTAGCAAATGGTTTTATAAACAATGGAAAAAAAATTGGTTTCCTTTGGATATAAGGTTCCCAGCTCTCAAATACAAGAGTTGCTTGAAACTTAGCAGCACATGCTGTGTTTGTGTTCCTGATTCTGAGATGTCCTTTAGGCCATTATGCTAAAGTACAGGGCTCTTTTTTCAGAACTATTCTAAAGTAAGCCTCAGAATGGCAACAAATTTATTGTTACAGTTGGGACCAGGTGAAAAATTCCAATTTGAATTCATCTTAAACTTAATTTCTGTTGCTCTTAGAGAGAAAGGACACAGCTGTTTATTTGGAGGGAACAGATGGGTTCACAAAGGGCTGATTCAGTTAAATGTGCAAGCAGCAGGAGTTGTGAACTTAGGTTTTTCAAGATGGAAAGAGACATCAACTCAAATTGCCAAAGAAGATGTGCAGATTGTGAGAATAGTTTTTTATGTATGTTGGTAATAGATTAATACCATATTTCTGGCACAGAAGTGTTATTAAATAAAAAATAAGAATTCCAATAGTTTTAAGACAATTGATTTAATTTTCCAAACTCAGTTGTGATTGTACTCTGTCCCGTTACACATATGTTGTACTGTGGGGTCTTCTCTTGATGGAGTAGAGAAAGCTGAGCCTGGTTTTGCAGTTGTAAAGGGAAGGTATACTATTCCTCTGATCACTTAATCTGTGTAGTGTTACTAGAGAGAAGCAGAGGGGAGGGGAATTCAGATTTATGTTCTTTGTTTTGAATGTTACCAAATCTGTTGGCTTGTTGTGGATGAAAGGCTGCTGTATTGAGCAGATGCTAAGTAACATGGTTAAGTGAGTTTTATTACTTTTTAAATCTTTGTAACTAAAAATGCCAAGTTCTCTGTACTTAACATGGTTCTTGGCTTTTAGCTATTAACAAGCTTTGTACTAAAGCCCTCTATTAATTTTGCAGGTCTTCTGAGAACTTTTAGACCTTTTTTAATGTTTTTGTTTGAAGAACAGAAAATCTCAATATAAAAGCCAACTCAGTGTTGCTAATCACTGGAAAATAGAGAATTCTAGAAGCCTTTTATAGCTCATGCCAATAGCTTTCCATAGAAATAAAAAATAAAGGGGAGGGGGAAATAAGTCAGTTGGCTTTGAGAATGAAAGTAATTTGTACTATAGTATAATTGAAGGTGTTTAGCACAGATTTCCAATTTCAAGCCTATTGAACCTGCAGTGACATGAAAAAGTTCAGTAGATCTCTAGAAAATGGGACTGGGTGGAAGGTCAAAGAGTCAATGCATCCAGATATTTGGCTGTGTTGTAACATTTGCATCAGCAATTCCAGACTTAGTATGCTGGTTTAATTAAAATATGAACAGTAATAGTAATAAAGGAATGATAATGGAGAAATTCTGTTACAGCTTCTTCTGCAACTGTTGTTGTAGAAACGTGTACTACAAACTACTCTGTTAATGTTAATATTTCCATAGCTGGAATTTACAATGCGAGAAGCTGTACAGTGCCTACATGCATTGGAAGAATATTGTCCCTCTAAGGAAGACTACAGTAAACTGTGCTTGCTACTGACCCTGCCTCGCTTGACCAACCACGCAGAATTCAAGGACTGGAATCCCAGCACGGCACGGGTTCACTGCTTTGAAGAAGCCTGCGTCATGGTGGCAGAGTTTATTCATGCTGATAGGAAACTGAGTGAGGCTGGTTTCAAAGCAAGTAACAATCGTTTATTTCAGCTCGTAATGAAGGGATTGCTTTATGAATGTTGTGTGGAATTCTGTCAGAGTAAAGCGACAGGAGAAGAAATCACAGAAAGTGAAGTGTTGCTGGGCATTGATCTCCTGTGTGGTAATGGGTGTGATGACTTGGACCTTAGCTTATTATCATGGCTGCAGAATCTGCCAGCAACTGTTTTTTCTTGTGCTTTTGAACAAAAGATGCTTAATATTCATGTTGATAAACTCCTTAAGCCTACAAAAGCTGCCTATGCTGATCTTTTGACACCTCTTATCAGCAAACTTTCTCCTTATCCATCATCCCCAATGAGACGGCCTCAGTCAGCAGATGCTTACATGACCCGCTCCTTAAACCCTGCCTTAGATGGGCTGTCTTGTGGACTAACAAGTCACGATAAGCGAGTCACAGACCTTGGGACCAAAACTTCTCCAATGTCACACTCCTTTGCTAATTTCCACTACCCAGGAGTACAGAATCTCAGCCGAAGTCTCATGCTTGAGAATACAGAGTGTCACAGCATTTTTGAGGAGTCACCTGAGCGGTAAGCACAACTGAAGCTGTGTTTTTACCTTGACTTATGTTGTATTTTGTATTTGTGGGTTCTTGCCTTCACTGTAGCTTTGAACATAATTCTAACATTGAAATGTAATTGGATTGTTTAAATCCTGTTGTAATTAAAACTGTGCATATGAGGAGTTTTCTTCCTTATGCTTTTATGATCAAAGTAGATTTCCATATTTGATCTTGAGCCTTATGGATTCAATCTGGACTTTCTTAAAGTTGAAATCCTAGTGCAGAGCGCAGATATGCTTGGATTATGTAACAGAGCCTAGCTAAGATTTGTGTTCAGTATTACTGAAGTCTTTCATTACACATAAATCAAGGGAAACAATGGAATAGCTGTACCTTCATCTTCTTTAAAAAACCTCACGTGCCTCTAAATTTTGGTCCTGACAGTCTCAATGATTAAGTATACTTCGAAATTTACAGATGGAAATAGTCCCAATGAAGTCAGTGGAAATGACTATGTGCAGTCTTCGTAGAGTTCCTACATCGCTTAAATTGTTACAATAGTAGTCCAGCTTAAATATTTACTTACCATTTTCCAAACCAAATCTGAATACAGCGTCTGAATATATTCTGGTATTATACTTGGCTTGGAAATAGTTGGGTTATGATAGCGTTGAATGCTATTAATCACCTCTTCAAATGTGATGTAGACTACAAAACTGACTTCTCTCCTTAAGAACTAAAGTCTGTATCAAAATTTTATGCTTTTTACCCTCCAAGAGGAAAGTCGTGGTAACTAGGAGACATGGTACTTGACAATTAAGAGCTTATCATCATGGTTTTGCTTGGCCTTTGTGTTGTGTTACGTCCCTTTCTAAATGTATGTCTCTAGAAAGTAAATCTGACAGATTTTTTTGGCTCTGAGAGAGCCAGATGGGTAACTAGCACTGCTCTTGGGTGCGCTGGCCAGCAGAGGATGTCGTAGTGTTCAATTCTGGCTGCAGTTGGTGAAATAGTCTATTATGTAATCGTATTAGTTTTGCTTTAAAGTAGTAATCTGTATCTTGTGTTAAGGTGAAGAGCAGCTGTAACTAAACTCAATAAAAAGGAAACAAACAACATCGTACTGATGTCGGTTCACCAATGATAATGGAAATTTTTAATTTGTTTCCCTTTTCCGTATTAGAATAATTCTGCACAGAGTTATCTTGGCAAAATAAAGTGGTAAATTGCTGCAGCTCTTCTTTGTGTAAGTGTTTTCATGTGATGTTAAGTGAAGCTTGTAGTTCTTAATACATTTTTTTATTAATCTTCTCTTGAAGATTAGAATTAGGTTAAGAGGTCAGACCCATGGTTTTCAAGAATGCATGACGTTTTTCAGAAGAAAATCCAATTTCGGTTTAAGTGTCCAGCTTAAATGGCAACATTTGCAAGGGTGGATGCTGGGAAGCTGAGCAATATGTGAATCTGGCCCTTGCTTCCTCATGCATGTGGTATTTCTTTTATAAGTTGTATTCAGCAAGTAATTACTTGTCTTTTACTCAGCTTAGTTACTTTTGTTTATACAGAGATACCCAGAAAGTTTAAAATAAATTCTTAAAGAGCTTTGCTCTTTAAGTCAGTAAAGAAGACTTTTAAGTTGACAAAACTGAAGATGGGAATCCAAGAATTACAATGTGTTCTCTACACTTACTGATTGTTAGTAACAAGCAGAAGTACGTGTATAAAGAGAGCATAGCAAAACTTATATAAACATTTTCCTCTGTAGCACTTTGAGGAATGTTCAAGATGATGGAGGTCAGTTTAGACTCTCCATTTAGACGGAGGTTAAATTTAGATGGATAGTGGTAATTGAGCTCTTACTTTATAGAAGCACTAGTCACATAGCATATACTCCGTGCATGTAATTGTTTGACAATAGAGGATCCTGAATAAATTGTTAATTACAGGGTATATAATTCAAGTGTAAGGATAGAAAACATGGAATTTGGATACCCCATGGTGGTACAGCTTTTTGGAAAATGTGGGAACAAAGCACACTGGCTGGCTGTGATTTTTGTTTGTTAGGTGTTTATTTTGTTTGGTGCAATCCGTTGCTTAGGGAAAAAATGCTTCTTGCAGTGTCTTATGTATCTTCTGGTTTATGTGTGTTAGTTGGGGTTTACTCAGAATGTTACCTTTCTCTACTTACCAGGGGATTTTCTACTCTTACTTTTTTCTCAATTAAGCTTTTCCTCTTTTCCATGTTGCTGCAATAAGCGATACTCCCGTGGAGCAACAGCATCCCATCGGCAGTGAGACTTCGTGCCAGAGTTCAGTTCCAGAAAATGAACCACTTAATGGAGCACAGAGTCAGGGATCAGCCAAACAAGAGAAAAATGAGGTAGTGGTTGTTTGTTTAAAGATAATGAGGCACTTTGAGCTGGGTTCTGATCACTTCATAATAATTTGCCTTTGTGTTGAGAACTTCATGCGTGACAATGGATTGCTTTGAATACTGTTTTTACTACAGTAGAAAAGCCATAGGAATCTACTCTTTTATGTATAAATTTCTGCCATCAGTTGAGCCTAATGCAAGCTTGCAATGTTATATTAAACAATGCTTAAGAATCCTCTCAGTGTTTTAGTGAGGAGTTTGGCATGTAGCCTACAATTTTTGGTGTTAACACCAAGTTCCGTAAGTCCTCTTACATAATTTTTCTGTCTGGGACACAGAGAAATTACATTTAGTAGGGAATTATCCAGTTCTATCTTTGCTACTCAAAATCCAATAGCATAACCTTGTTTTGGATTCATGTTTGAAGGCTTGTGCCTTGACTATCCTTTTTTTTGTCTTTTTTTTTTTTTTTTTTCTCCTTAACAGCAATATGGGGAAAGTGAAATAACAGTTCAGTAGGATAAAGTTTCCTGTCTTTTTCCACAGTTTTAAATATCTGTCCCTTGATTCAGGAATGATGAATAACATCGAGTACACAGTCTGTTTTGTTTGCAGACTCCAGTTTGATTTTCTTAAGTAGACTTTGTCTTTGCTTTTGACACCTAAGTGGTACTGAAAACCAGTCTGGTCTTGACAGGGCTATATTCTTGTAGACTCCAGATACTTAAGTGAGGCAATGGGGCCTACTGGAGGATTAGCAAATTCCTCCAAACTTGAGGACTTCACTTCCCTCAACGACTCTGCTGAGCAGCTTCTCTGCTGCAGCAGTGTTGCCTGTGCACACTGGGAATAAGTGGAGGGAGGAGGTTGCTTAGCTAGACATGTAGCAGAGCAGGCTTCAAGAGGCAAAAATCCAGATGCAGAATTTGTAGGACAGAATGAAGACAGGAGATGCTGTGCTGTAGGTGAAGATGTTGGCCAGACTCTTCACGCAAGTAGAAAAGAAAATAGTACCCATCCAATTTCACCTTGTTTTGTTTTCCACATTGTAGTGGTATATATGTGTACTGTGCAAGTAAGAAATTAATTTGTATTTCTTTAATAGCTTTATTTTTGCACTGTTCTTGGAGGGCTTGAGTTAGAAGCCAGAGTTTACAGAACAGAACATCTAGGCAACATACCTTAAGTTCAGGTGCTAGTTTGGGTAATAATGACACAGAATCTAAAGGATCAAAGGATTGAATTCAATTGCAACAAACATGTATTGGTCATGGAAAGAGTAGAGACAAAGAATATACCTGTTGCTTAGAAGGAGTATAACCCAGTGACTGGGGAACAGTTCACGTATTTGAAATACAGAGAATGAATGCTTTCTAGACTTCTGGAGATAAGGGCTGAGTTTGTAAATTGCAAGTGTCCATCTTGGGAAACAGAAAATGATGAACATTTTACAAATGTAACAGGTCCAGGAAATCTGATATAAACCAAAACCAGTGTGTCAGAAAACACAGAATCATCATGCAAGTGTTTTTATTTACAAGCAATGCAAAGGCTCATAGTTACAAAGAAAGATCTTCTGCATGAATTGATTGAACTAATGCAAAGTTACCAGGATGTCTTTAGACAACTTAAAATCACTAGATGACAAAGATGTTTTGGGAAAAAAACCCAAACCACCAAGGTTTTTCTTTGACTACTTTTTTCCTCCTGGTTGGTGAATATGCAGTTTGGCTGGGTTTTTTATAAAATGTATCTTACTCTAGTGTTGATATTTTGGCCTTGGACTAAAGTGATTTTGGTTTCCTGTAGGGTGCTTCTGTTCATTTTTAACTTGTTCTCAACCATTTTATGATGGCAGTGTTTGGAAGTAGTGGCACAGAGAAAGCGAGGATTGGGGAATGCAGAGGGCAGTGAGTTCTGGGGAGGTGGCAGTGTGGGAAGCTAAAGATAATACATAAGAGGAAAGAGGCTATGAGAAAAAAGCTCAGGTATTTGTGTTTGGTCCAAAAAGTAAGGATTTTTAAAATTAGAAAAAGGCACCAACTTCAAAAGTAAGATGCAACACCTGGATAGTGCACTTCAAGGTTGGCTACTGGGAGAGATAAATCGGCTCTGCAGACTGATGGCAGTGAGGTGTCAGTGTGGCAGAAAAGACTAAATTTGTAGTGAAAATACAACCTGGAGTTTGCAATGTAGCTTACACTGTTTTCTCATTTTTATTTTCAGTTTCCAGTCACCTGTTTGTTTTGATCTTAAGTGGTACTTAAGTCTTGTAGGGAAGAGGAGTCTCCTCCTGAATTATGGCAGAACTAATTCAACAGTGAATATAGCACAGGCTGGCAGTGATTTCCCTTTTTAATATGTAAAATGTGTCTGATTTTAAGGAAGAATGAAAGCGTTGCTCCTCAGAGGAGAATCTGCTGGGCCTTTTGATGCCTATATTGAAATAATGAACCAGAAAGTGAGTATTTGGGTTAAACTCTGCAATTAACTATTTCATTTTCATCAGTAATTCTCATTTCTCTTTAGCTTCGTGATTCAACAGAGCAATTTCAGGAATACTACAGACAAAGACTACGTTACCAGCAGCATTTAGAACAGAAAGAGCAGCAACGACAGTTGTACCAGCAAATGTTGTTGGAAGGAGGTGTAAATCAAGAAGATGGAGCTGACCAGCAACAGAACCTTACTGAACAGTTTCTTAACAGGTTGGAGGGTTTTGTTGATTCTCCCTCCATCCACTCCTGTCCCTCCTCAGGTTCTCATAATAACCTGTGATCTTTATTTTTCATGTCATTTGTTATTAGGTCTATCCAGAAACTAGGAGAATTAAATATAGGTATGGAAAATCTTGGAAATGATGTACAAACACTTAGCCAGCAATGTAATGGGAGCAAAGGGAATGCATCTACCCATCCAGCAACTAACTTTGCAACACCATCTTCAGATGGTAGTCCGAGGACAACTGGTAGCCAAAATGTTAGTACAAGCACTCCTCGGAAGTGTGGCTCAGCTAACCAGATACCCTTTCCTGAAGAATCACCTGTGCAGGGGAGTCAAACGTAAGTTATATGAGACTGTTGAGGACTAGGAATACCATGTGGGAGTAGCTGTCAGGATTTGGTTTTAGTTATCAAATGCATTTGTCATTGAATAGGGGGATTAGTTTGTGATCAGAGTTTACAATTTTTTTTTTATAGGGTTTATAAATTATACTGGTTTTGACAGAACACATGAGAAATAGTGGGGTTTTTGTTATGGTTTACATTTCATGCTAATTTTTTATTTCAGACTTTTTATTCCATCTTATACATGCAGTTCTTGTCATTTAGTGTTCTACTGAGTTTCTGGAAGCTTTTTTATGAAGTACAAGCTAGATGGAGAGAGAGAGAGAGGCAGGGCAGAGTGGGAACTGGATTTTTTTTTTCTGTTAACTAAAGGTAGTGCTGACCTGAAAGCAACAACCAGTTTTTCCACTTGCCTGTATGTGTGTATGTATGTCGTGGAATGAAAACAAGTATTTTAAACTTGCATTCACTGTTCAATGCCCAGAGCTGCTGCTAAAAGGGCAACCCCTTGTAAAAGTAATAGTTTAATGATAAAGAATAAGACGCGCATGACCCATGTCCACATAAATTAGTTGTGAGGATGACTGAAACCATAATTTAGTCCAAAAAATACTTATAAACAAAACTGTCTGTGCTCTTGGTTTGGGCTTGGGGTTTTTTCCTGTCTTGTGAATTTAAACTCTCCACCAAATCAAAACAGTGCATCAGAACATGCTGCCACTCAGCCGCATTTGGAAGACTCTTCAGGGAATTTAACAAGGACAAGAGGAGATGAGGTGAGCTTTCTTCTTGTACTTCACAATTTGTGTTTTCACAAGATTCTGTATTAAGGCCTGAGCATGTGACATCCTTTCACTGTTAATAGATATTTAGAATGAGTTTTGGTTGATGCAGAACCTGCAGAACCTACAGAACCACAGAACATTGATAAGGGACATCTAGAGACGGAGTCCAAACCCACTGCTCAAAGACGTGTCAATGAGAGCAGGTTGCTTGGGGCTGCATCCAGTTGGGTTTTGAGTATCTCCAAAGATAGAGACTCCATAACCTCTGCGGACAACCTGTTCCTGTGTCTCATCACCCTCACAGGGGTTTTTAAACAAAAAAAAAGTTTAAATGAAACTTTCTATGTTTCAGTTTGTGTCCGTTGCCTCTTGTCCTTTCACTGCGTGAAAGAGTTTCACTCCTTTCTTTACTCCTTCTGTTGGGTACTTACATACACTGATGAGATTTACACACTCCCCCCCACTGAAAAGCCCTTCTGATCTCAAAGCCAAACAGTCCCAGCTCTCTCAGCTTCTCCTGGTACAATAGAGGTTCCAGTGGATGTCTTTTGCATCCATTGTTTTATGTTTTGAAACTTTGATTGCTGGACTGCAGTCGGTATGGTCCACCATTAGAGAAATAACTTTGCCATAAATACAACCCAAAGTTTCTGCATCAGATTAAAAAAAACCCAGATTTATAAAGGTGGTGATGAAGTTGCCAGAAGAATGATCTGATAGCTTTATATTATCTACCGGGTGAAAAGCAGATTCTTATGTTCAGTATTACATTTGTTTTATAAACTGTGTTTATGACTTGGACTGTTTTGAGTAAAAATGCGGCTTTGTTCGCCTCGCAAATTTCACACAGATCAAACATGTTTACACAGAAATAAACTGTAATATTATGTGTCCAAGATAAGCTGTTCATAAGAATAAAAGCTGTTGGAAGCCTGGAGGACAATGAGAAATGTTAATCTAATGTTAGTGAGCTGAATTTAAGTATGCTATTCCTTGACCTGGAGTAGACAATTGTGTTTAGGCTGGTGCTGCTAATTTGGTACAACGGATTTACATTAATCTGCAAAACAGTTGCATCCACTTCTTAATGTCCAGTTTTACGATGAAGAACCTAATTTGACTTACCATTCTACACAGGATGACAAATCAAAAAAGCAGTTCATTTGCATTAATACTCTAGAAGACACACAAGCTGTCAGAGCTGTAGCCTTTCATCCCAGTGGGAGTTTATATGCTGTTGGCTCCAACTCTAAAACTTTGAGAGTTTGTGCCTATCCAGAAGTAATTGACCCAAGGTAAGAAATCGTGTATAATCATTTCTTTTTCTGTAGCACAGCACCTCTTTCTCCTGTAGCCACTGATACCTGTACATTTCATACCTTTATTTTGATGTTGTAATAGTGCAGTGCTCTCCTTAGAAACATGAACTGCCAAACAAAAACAAGATCTGCTTGAGAATTTGGGTACTCATAGACTACGGTTTTGGTCTATTACTGGCAAGATGCCAGCACACCACCACACCTCTCCTTATAAAAGTGGTGTCTTTGTCTCAGCATGTAGACTTTGCTGTATTCACTGTGGTGCCTTCTGATTTTGACATTGCAGCTGTAAAAGTGAGAGAAAGCGTGTGTCAGTTCTCAAGCCAGCACAAGTTGGGCTTTGGGAGATACAGTTTCTGGCAGGAGGACAGCCTTAACAGGGAAAGCAGCATCTTCTTCAGCTTCTAAAGTAACATTTGCCAGAGCATGTCTGTTGGCTTGTTGTTACTATAAACATTGTTGTCCTGATACTTAGGTTCCTTGACAGGAAGAGCACTATTTGTGCTTTACTGTGTGCCTGGACTTTGCTGGTTTATTTTCATTCATTTTTTTTAACTGGGGAGAGGAAGGGATTTTTCTTTTCATCTGGAAATAAATATTTCCATCTCCACTTTGTCTGTGTTCCATCTAGATTATTTTCTTGGAGTAGGGGAGAAATGTAGGCATCTAAAACCTTACAATTTTAGGAGGAGCTACAAACATGCACAGTGACTTTATCAGAGGCAGCTTCCCAGTTTAGGACTCATGTTTAGGCTTCCAAAGGGTTCAAACAGTAAGCTGATGTTGGTTTGGTTTTGGTTTTTTTTTTCCTTTTTCTCCTTAAGTACCATCAGTAAGGTGGTTTTTCAAGTTTAATTGAAAATTATGTTTTGGCATTACATGAAAAAACCCAGTTTGACTTCTCTGATAGCTGACTTGCTGGGCTTGAAAAGCAGGCAGCCTCATCTTGATTGGTAAACAGTGCAAAACTCTTTGAAGTAGAATGGATGCTCCTGTATTGACCATGGTCTGCTTTCACACAGCTTGTTACTCTAACTGTTGGGGAAGGTTAAATTGATTCTGCAGCCTTAGTCTCTAGTTTTACAGTGCATGACCTGATGTGACAAGTGACATACTGCATCTGGATATGAAAGGAGTACTGAGATTTCCTTAATTCTGAACTTGTACTTCTTAGTGGTTTGGTTTTTTTTCCCTTATGCTTACAGTTTGCCAAAAACATTTCATCATGGGATTTACAAGTCAGCAGACAGATTACATTATCTTAAAGATACTCTAATCCTTGGAACAACCCAAGTCTAGACATGGATTCAGGATTCTTCATGTTTTTCAAAAAGCTGTAATTGTGTAGACTGTCTGGTAAATAGTTGTTTAATTGTACATCCAAGTTTTGTTGGGACTACTTAAAGCTGTCTTAAGTTGTCCTTCAAACTACTGTGTGATTCAGGACCAGTTGGTTTGGGTGGGGTTTCTGTGTTTTTCTCTATAAAGGTACAACAGGAGTGTGCTTTTGCCCACAGGTTTGAGATTAAGCACTGACAGATAAACACTATAGTTCTGCAGTTGGTGCTTCAATAATCACATGGCAGCATGTGGCCTGTGTGCTAGGCACGTGCTCCCATGTCCTGACAAAGGCAGTGATTCTCAGTTGCTGCCTCTACCTCTTAAATGTAGTGAATCCAGATTGTGAGTGCCATGGAAGGCATTAGGCCATTTAGGAAGCTCTGTAGTGTGTGCTGAATGGTGGTCCTGATGTAGAAAATCTGTCATGGATTTTCTCTTTGGCAACAAATAAAATTAACTTCCAGGTAGATTTATTTTTATATTCTTCACTAAAGCCATGTTTCTCTCAAAAGTTTTCAAACAGGCTTAGGTGAGTGTCTTGTGTTTTGTCTCTCTGCCTCTTGTGTTCAAGTATTTACAGCAGGTTTCTGAATTTTTCAGTAGCAGTTGAATTTGTTGAATTTCTGTTGATGTTACTGGAGTGACTGTTGGTGAAGTTGGATACAGCAGTACTGTGTCTTAACCACTTGACTACATCCTGCTAGGGGAACAGAGAAATAACATTGTGGGAAGTTAATCAGTTGAAACAGAGGAAATACGTATCAGTGGGAATGTTCCTTTTATTTTAGCTATGTGTAAAGCTGATCTGGTTTCAGAAAGAAGAATGTAGGTTATGTTTAGATGCTGTGAAGATTCCTGCATTAACATACACTTGTGATGTGGGTTCCTTGCACAGACTGCTCTGTTAGATTTTTTTAGTGGATGGGTGAAGCTTTGAGAGTCATATTATTGGACAAGTAATACTGAATGCACAGCTCAATGATGGACATGTATGAGCTCGTTCCTTGACTGTACAGGTTTTTGTTATTTCATGGTCAAAGAAGAGACAGTGCTTGACTTAGGGCAGCATTATTCGATGTCCTCCCAGATACAGTTAACACAGAAGCAGTTTTCTTGATCCTTTAACTGCTCTATGTGCTTGATGAGTCTTACTCATTCTGTCAGCGAGGATGGCATCAACAACAGCTTTTTGGATAAAACAGCAGGCCTCAATTCTGATTGCTACAGTACTACTATGCACAACACAGCCCCAAACACAAGTATATGGAGCCCATAATAATTATGCTGTCATACCAAACACAATCCCCAGTTAGTGATCATCAAGTCTGGTGGGTGGGAAATGGGAAAAGAAACACCTTCCCGTACACACACAGCGGTTACAAAGGCTTCTGCTTTCTTCTTTCAAGAGTTTGGATTTTCCAGTCTGCATCCTGATGGTTTAGTCCCAAACCCAAACCATAGGAGCTGCACAGGGTACTACATAGACAGTGCATGCCTTACGAGCTTTCTTGGCCTACTGTTGCTTAATGGAACTCAAGCATGTTCAAAGGTGGCCACAGGATCAAGATTGAAGTATGGAGGATGTAAAGAAAAATGCCATCAGTTTAGGACTCAGGAGATAAAGTTTCATTGTATGTAGCTAATAATTGCTATATTTTATCTGTATCACCCTTTAATAGATGAAGGGACTGTGTAAGTTCTTTTGCATGTCCAATCACAAATAGAGTGGGAACATGAGGAAAAACTGAGAAAATGGGATGGAGAAGGTTCTTTTGTTTTGTCTTAGATCACATGTATGTTTCAATGCAAACAATCAAATGTATTTCATGTTACTCAAAAATAGTATTTTTATTTTAGCATACATTCTTTTCCTTATGAATAAAAGGCAATTATATTTTTTTCTAGTGCTTATAACACTCCTAAACAACCTGTAGTGCGCTTCAAAAGGAACAAGCATCATAAAGGATCAATCTACTGTGTAGCCTGGAGTCCCTGTGGACAGCTGTTAGCTACTGGTTCTAATGATAAATATGTGAAAGTACTGCCTTTCAATGCAGAAACCTGCAATGCAACAGGTAATGTGTGTGTGTCTATGAAAAAATTAATCTAAATTTTTTGTGCAGTGGTTGGGAAAGCTTTTCAAGTTACATTGATTATGTAGTTAATAGGGTTTTTAGCTTAGTCTGTTTTCCTTCTCACCATCACTGTAGCCTCTTTCACCATCACTGTAGTCTGTCCAGCAAAGAACCACTATATGGTTGGGGATCGTATTTTGGATTTTGTTCAGTCGGGGTTCTTGGATTTTGGTTTTGTTTCACAAGTCTCTCTGGTGTGATGCTGCGTTCTGGTAGATTCTGCCCCCCCAGGTATGATAAAACCACTGAGTGTTCTTACCCAGCTCTAGATCTTGATTGTTAGTAGGAATTTATTTTGAATTCCCCTTTTTCTTGCCTAGTTCTGTCTTCTCCCCCATCTTAAAAGTCTAAGGCTTCTCTCCCAGCAAATGCTGTTTTCTGTGCCCAACCCTCCTAATCAACATGCTGAATATGGCTCTTTTCTGTTTTGAATTCAGGCTATCTTGTCCTGTGGGGTTCAGTGTTCTCCAGGATCCTTCCCTCCTGGCAGAGAAAGCCTTTTTTTGTTTGTTTTTTTTAGTTTACCATAGCTTACAGACAGAAAGAAACGTGCTCTGTAAACCTTGGCTGGAACTGGCTGTGGCAGTGGCCTCTGCACAGTTCACAGGGCTTTAAAAACTGCAGGAAGCTCAAGCAACGCTCAGAAATAAGATTCTTAAAGATGTTACTTGAGCTCTAGTAACTGAAATGGTGTGTTGCATGGAGAGTGCACAACAATGTGGTTACTTGGTAGCATACTCACCCCGGCCTAAAATATTCTGCGTTACCACTGTAGCTACTTTAAAGATTGCAGCACCAACAGTGGTGAACATGTTGATCCTTGCTTTTCAAATGATTTTAGGACCAGATTTGGAGTTCAGCATGCACGATGGAACGATCAGAGACCTGGCTTTTATGGAAGGCCCAGAAAGCGGTGGTGCTATTTTAATAAGTGCTGGAGCAGGGGACTGTAATATTTACACAACAGACTGTCAGCGAGGACAGGGCCTGCACGCTCTGAGTGGCCACACTGGTATGTATGCTGTCACCTCGCCTGAGCGCTCGTGAAGTCAGTCTGTAGTACAGTCGAATGAAGTTTTTAGGGGGGGGGGGGGGGAGATTTATGTCCTTGTATTTTTCCTTCTGGCAAGATTTTTTTTTTTTTTTTTCCTCTCCAGATGGCTCTTAAAGTATTTTGAGGGGATGTGGGGAGTGTTTGGTTTTGGATACGTTGGCTGTTAATTTAATGGAGGGAGCACATGCTTCATTCCAGAGAAGATGCAGAGCTGGGCATTGCCTTACGCTGTTGGCATTTTAAGTCGTGCAACAGGCAGGTTTCCCACAGGACTGTTAAATCTCTGAATGCAAATATATAATCAGAACTGTAATATTTCGTTGTTTGATTAATGAGATTTGAGTCAATAAAGAAGTTCTTGTTCACAGGTCATATTTTAGCACTTTATACGTGGAGTGGCTGGATGATTGCATCTGGATCCCAAGACAAGACTGTAAGATTCTGGGATCTGAGAGTGCCAAGCTGTGTTCGTGTCGTGGGAACAACGTTTCATGGAACAGGTGAGACTTTGCTATCCTATTCCTGATTGTTCTTGTATAAAAATGTAATTAAAGATGTCTAAATAGAATAGAGTGAATGGAAGGTTTTTTTCATCACAGAATGGAGACTTGGCTTTAGAAGACAGATGTTGTGAGGATATATTTAACTCTGTGTTTTGCTGGGGATTTTTTCTTTTAAGTAACATTTCCTTTCAGAAGTTGGCTGGTTTTTTTGTCTTGTGACTCAAACAGCCACTTCCAAGTGAATTAAAATAGGGCACGAGAGAACTGTTTTGGAATCGAAGGCAAGGGTGGGAAGGAAAGCAGCCGTTTTTGCAAGTTCACTCTGCTTACTCATACTCTATGGAAATCTGCAAACAGATTATTAAGAACCACTTGGGTTCAGGTTTGTTTCTTGAAACCAGGGGCTGGGGGAATTCCTGGCATTATTCTGCATTATTTCCTAAAGAGTGAAAAACTGTTTCTGATGAAACAGTTACTTTTTCTCATACAGCTTTGAGAGTGGCTTTGCTGCCTTCCAGTGTGACCTGTGGCTTCCAATTTTTAAGTGCTAGAAGATAATAAATTTTCTTATTTTAAAGCAGCAGTAGCCAGGTGTGTTCACCCTGAGGTTAAGGCCAGCGTTTGGTATTCTTACACTATGTATACTCAACAAAAGAAAGGGCTGTTTGCACACCTCTGTACAACGTGTGTGCTGTTTGGGGGTTTTCTCCTACAGGCAGTGCCGTAGCCTCAGTAGCTGTTGATCCCAGTGGCCGTCTCCTGGCGACGGGCCAGGAGGACTCCAGCTGCATGCTCTATGACATTCGTGGGGGCCGGATGGTGCAGAGCTACCACCCGCACACCAGCGACATTCGCTCCGTTCGCTTCTCCCCGGGGGCTCACTACCTGCTCACAGGGTCGTATGACATGAAAATAAAGGTGACAGACTTGCAAGGTAATGTACTGCGAGGAATACTGGGGTAGTTTTTGGTGGGTTTAATGTTGAAGTTGTAGGAGAACTGGGATCAAAGATCAGGTTTTTGGTAAAAAGGGGAAAAAATTGAGCTTTGAAGGGTTTGAAACATATATAAATGTGATTGTGTCCATTGGCATTTGGCTGGTTGTGTTGCTAAGAATGTAGCCTATGAACTAAAGCTTGTTTTGGGGAGGGGGTTTGATTATCAGAACAGAACTAATAGCTGCCGATGCCTGATGAGGTGGCCATTGCTTGGCAGCAGTCATAAAATGGACTCTTCTAAAACAGAAAACCAGTGTAATAATAACGCTTATTTTTTGGGGGAAGAGTTAGGGGATGTCGGGTACATCTTATCAACTTGATTTTCTTGGACTATTAAAATACAATCGCAGTGTGTAAAAACTGAATTCCTGTCAAGCTGTAGTGTCCAGTAATGCCTAAAAACTGAGACACCGGGGCCTTGTGATACGCTCTGTGAGTGGGTGAGAGAGAGGGGTCAAAGTATGCTTCATAAGGTGAAATATATACGTAAGCATTAGTAACCAGATGGGGGGGAAGCAGAAAACAAAAATGAGGGTGGAACACAACAAGAAAGAGCTGGGGTGTAAATTCATGACATGACTAATGATGGATGTTCCTCTGCCGCAGGGGACCTCACGAAGCAGCTTCCTCTGATGGTGGTAGGAGAGCACAAGGACAAAGTTATTCAGTGCAGGTGGCATACACAAGATCTTTCCTTCTTGTCATCTTCTGCAGACAGAACTGTAACCCTTTGGACCTACAATGGCTAGAGTGCAAAGGCAACCTATGCAGCTAAAGCACAGAGACCTGAGACTACAGAACTGTAAAAACCAAGTAATAATAATTAGGCATTGGGAGAGCAGCAGTTGAGCTGGAGAGTGTCCTACCAAGAGGAGGGGTGCTTGTCACAGATTTTTCTGGTTTCTAGGAGGTCTTGGTGTTTTTCGTATATTCTTTTGCAGTGCTTTCAGTCTTCCATGTGAACTCATGCTGCTGTGACCTATTGTAGTCTTGTTGCCAAAGTCTATGAGGAGAACTCTTCTGTTGTCAATGTGCACTCTAACCTGAATGATGTGTTTACAGTTTGGTATTAATTGCATTCCTTGGTCTTTGCCTCGATGAGAGTTTTATATAGAAACTGAAGTTGGACAACACTTAAGTCTGTATGTAACTAGTTCCACACACACACACATAAAACATGAATTACTACCACTGTTTTTTCAGATTTATTATATTCAGCACTTCTCAACAAGATGTCAAACTTTGTAACATCTCCACAACTTCAACTTTTTTAGTACTGAATTCTGAACTTTAAAGGTGACTAGGCAGTAACTGCATCTTGATGATGGTCCGGTTATATAGTGTGGGGGTTTACTTTCTTTTCATCTAGAGTGGGGGAAATGTTGCTGTTTTTTACTACATGACATTGTTCTGAACAAGCTGACATGTTGGAAAAAGTAAAATATTGATTTTCTTCTTTTGCTGTTTGTTTCTTTAGAAACATATATTTTACTTTTTGAATGCAACAGAATACCTCTGTGTATAATGTACTGTAGAAAAGAGTGGATTGGCAGCAGCTGTCACAGTGAGCTTAATGGCTATCAGTTTTTCAAGTAAAAGGGATACCATTAATGCTATAATAGAAACCAGCATGGCTTAAAATGCTATGTCTGCATGATAATTTAAGAGTTGTTTAAATTCCCAGTTCAGAAGCTTACCTGAATTTTATTTCTTGCACTGTTTATGGATGGGAAATTGCAGTTTTATTTCTACAAAACTTTAGATTCTAATGTTTATGTATTGTTATATTTTCATATTGTACAGTTCCTTTTACTTTTTAAAATATAAACTTAAACATTAGGTTATTTATTTATTTGAACTGCAGTTACTTTTTGGGTTCTCTTGGTTACTAAATTATATGTGCACTGTAGCAAGCATTTTTAACTATCGTATAAAAGTGGAAAGGTAACTATAGAAGTGTATCTGTGCTATAATCTCAATAAAGACCTCCAACACCTGCACTTGTCTTCGCTGCTGTTTTGGGTTGGTGGTTTGCAATTCCTCAACGCAACTGTGATACTTAAAACATTTTTTTTCAGGTATGGTTTATGCCTAGAGCTAGAGAAGATTTCAGATCCTGGGTCCTGCCTCCAAGTATGTGACTCTGCTCTGCAGTGAGTAACGATACAGTGGCACGGAGCTGAAAATATGTTTGGTTTCCTGTACTGGACACACAGATTAAGGAGCTAATGCTGCTTTGGATGGAGATGCGGCGTCTTACTCTTCCATTCCTCCAGCTGTCCACCTGTGGCCAAACCTGGCAGACTGTTTCTAATTAGCACTACGACTACTTAAATACTATTTCCTTCCATGAATTTTGTTGCAGTTTGGGTCTTTGCGGAGCAGATCTCGGTTTATGTCTCTTTTTTCCCCCCCAGCCTATTGCGGTGACTC